TATTTCAACTCTCTTATACAAATCATATTAAGTCCGAAAGATGTTCCTCTTTATGTTGCTTCATAAAATGTCTACATATAAAAAATTGTCCGTTAGCTTATATGGAATATAATTGAATTGCACTATACAACCGTCGTCTGGAATTTCTTTATCCCTTAAATTCTACCATTTCAGAATTTATAATGCATTGTTTTGACATTCAAAGCGCCGCTAGGGTAATAAATATGTCTAGAATTGTAAAAATTCTCAAATATTATTTTAAAGTTATTACTTGCATGTCAAAATTTATATATTGTAGAACAGTGGTGTTTATCCATTTAAAATTAATGCCGAACACTTTCAAAGCTGTCTCTTTATTCAACCGGTTATTTCTCTTATGTGTTTGTTAAACTGTACATATATTTCAATATTGTTAAACACTTTTTAAATGGTCAAAATACACGTTCATATTCTTGAATTCATTATCGTTAGATGATTCTATATCAAACTAGGCATATCATTATAATTTTTAGAAAATTTGTTCCTATCGGCGTATTATTTATCCGCGTATTGAGCAGAATGTAAGTTTATGTTTAAATTAATATTATTTATGTTACAAAGGAAATATATGGACGATTACCTCTTAATACTAATTCAATATGACTGTGACCTTTTTAATATTGCTGTCATTTCATATTTGCAGTCATTCTGCAACACTGTTTTAGAGAATGTGTACCTCATAACTGTTACCTCATAACTGTTACAATTAAAATGTACTCTAACTGAAATATTGTCAATGATACGTGCATATACTAATGGTGTAAAAGCTACAGAAAAAAACAAATATATATATATATATATATATAATATATATATATATATATATATATATATATATATATATATAATATATATATATATATATATATTGCATTGCATCTTTTTGAACTACTTTCATGATAACAAGATATATTTCAATCAAACTGGGGAACATAAAATTTTCAAACTGTTCAGACAATGGTATAGTTTTGTCTGCCTTTACGGAATAAAATAAACATTATCTTATAAAACAGCCGTATAAAGATAATGCGTTCACTAAATAACCTTAATCCCTAGACAGCTACAGAAACCTTATGCCAAATGATTACCATTAACTATACCCAAAATAGTTTTGGTAAGCGATAACTCGAACGATCATGCGTAGGTGGTATCGATATTTATCCAGCATATCATTATTAAAAGATGAAGAGTATGCTAAAAATAATGTCTATTTGAGCATTACTCATCATTGATGTTTATGTTTTATAAGGTACGGAACAAGATATTAGCACTACAGAACAAAGATCTTTTTATATCACACAAAGATTATGTACAGCCATACATAGTCTGTAAGAATTGTAGTTCCTAATTGTAAATTTATTTAATTTATAATCACATAATTTTCGTATTTGATTTGTCCGATAGTATTTACTAATAAAGACATTGTTTCACTCTTTCAATTTAAGAAAACTTCACTATTTCCGCCAAACGAAACGTCTTATTTTGTTTCCCGTAAAAAGACGTAATTAAATTGTTTTACGGTGACGTCATTAACCGTTACTTTAATATGTTGTTTTGCCTTGGGTGGAAGTGCTATTTGTTGATGTATTTGTTTAATGATGTTTTCCAATGGAAAGGAGATTATAATCGGTAAGCTAGTTATTTATTATGATTGAATTTCAATAGTAAATTCAATCATTATTAAATGATGATGAACTATTCGCCGTGAATTTAATTATAAACGGAATTATTTGCGGGAATATAAAATGACAATATTATTTTCATAGATTTCAGTCTATAATTGTAAAGGTTCCATCATATATTTACGATTTGTATTAACATTATTATTTTAGACAATTTATTGTATTTTATTTTAAATGCGTTGCAATAAGTATTTAGTTTGTGTATATGTTAATTTCAGAGAATCGCATTGTTGTATATAACATTGATATACGTGTATATTCCATGAATGAGAATAAAGTGTTAAATCTACATAGCCTTCTGGTTATTTGTGTCCAGTCTTTGTATCTTCCGTCCCAAAATGTTTTCACACTGTCCGAACGTCTAGGAATTTAGTTTTGGACGGTTTCCCTGTATAACTATGTTGTTGAATAAGATACAATAACCATAATATTATAAATGCGTCAGACATTATATGACATGGGTTGAGACAGTTATTACAAACAAACATCTAAACATCTTTACCGAAGTGTAATAACAGATGAACTCAGGGGCGCAGCTTAAAAGATAGCAACGTGTAGGCATAACTGTTTGGGGGCGGAAAATGAAAATGCACATTGCCGTAGCTACAAAGGGATGTTCAGAAGAATAAAAATAATAATTTTGCAGCCATTTTGTAAAAATGTTCTTTTTTCATCATCGTGATTATGCCCATACTATAGCTTACAATATATAGGCTCGGTGTGAAACAATAAGAACATAGTCAAATACTACTTTGTGATGAAATAGACATTGGCACACAAACAGCTTTGAATGTCAATAAGCTATTTTGCTTCAATAACATGTGAATAAATTTCTCTGTTTATTGTGTATGGTAAAACAGCATATTAAACTGAATGTTAACGTAAGGTCAATCGTATAAAAAAGTTAAGATAAAGCTAACTCGAACATCAAGTTATCTATCAACATACTGACGTAAGAATTTTGAATTTATTTGATTGGATTGTACTTCACACTGACTCAATATATGTTACAATATTCTGGCTTTACAGATGGAGGAAGATACCCTTTCGTTCATTGTAGGTACAAACGGGAACCTAAGTAGAACCACCGAAGTTACGTAAGCTAGCTGGATAACTTCCTTGCATGAAAGAATCAAAGTCCCTGTCCAGACATAAGAGATGTAATTAAATGACAGGAAAGGTAAACAATGGCCGGTCATGTGCATCATATACGTAATGACAAACAATATAAAAGAACTAGAACCCAAACTTTTATCTGAACTCATGTTTGCATCTTCTCCAGCGTACTGTACTGTTTAAATTTTGATGATATTAACTTAATATCAAAGCTCTTGTACAAAGACATATACCATTATATTTATTTGCTTTGTCTTAAAAATAAAAAATGTAAGTACATTATTCACTTTTCATATAATAATGTACAGCTAACACTCAGTTGTCATGCTAACAACAACAGTAAAAAACACCAATATTTTCAACAAGCAAGAGGGCCATGATGGCCCCGCGTCGCTCACCAGAAACAACTTGATAAAAGACTACCTAAGAATGCTACTGTAACAGACAAAATTGTGTGATCATCAAATAATTAGTTCTGTAGAAGCAGACGTTTAAAGGTATTTCTATTTTTAGCTTTAGCCGCCCCTACAAGGGGCCAATCAAATTAATATGAGTAAACTTGATAAAAGACTACCTAAGAATGCTACAGACAAAGTTTGGTAATCATCCACCAATCATTTCAGTAGAAGATGATGTTCAAAGGTTTTTTTTTCTATTTGTAGCTCTAGAGACTCCTAACAGGGGCCAATCAAATGAAAATGAGCAAATTTGATAAAAAGACTACCTAAGAATGCTACAGACAAATTTTGGTGATCATCCATTAATAAATTAAGTAGTAGAAGATGTTTAAAGGTGTTTCTATTTTTAGCTCTGTTGACCCCTAAAAGGGGTCAATTGAAACGGCATAAGCAAATTTAAGTGTGGCTGTCACAAGGCTGCTACAGACCAAATTTGAGGTAAATCTGCACATCAGTTTCAGAGAAGATGATTGTTGACGCATGACGACGGAGCATCCCCCTTTGATACCAATAGCTCACCCTGAACCTTCGGAACTGGTGAGCTAAAGAAATACACAAATTTATGATGCATCATACAATAATTAATGAAATTACAAATACTTTCAGTCAAGAAACTTTTGACTTAAAAACTGAAAACATTTAAGCACTATTTTCAAATACGTCCCGTAATTGATGAAGATTCTTTCGTTCTTTTTCAGTTATATTTGATGTTGATGATTTCAATTCAGATTCATTCTTTATATCAGAATATGCCACCAAATCTTATCAACTGTTGACACTTTTACGTCAATAATAGAACAATACATCATGTCATTAATGTTTCTCTGACATGATTCAGAAAGGTCTTTCATCACTGTGTTGCAACATTAACGTTGTCATGCCATTCATATATTTACAATGAATACAGAAAATTGCTATAATACGAAAGTGTTGCTGTCAGAATTGTGCTTTCTACGATTGCCAACGCATGCGGAAACATTTTTATATAATTCATGCACATAATAATATTATGTATATAATCGTGCACAAGCTCTTTATACCAGAAAAGGTTATGACGTCACTAGAATTAAATATTCAGAATCCCTAAACATTCACATATTCGTCTTTTATATTTCTTTAAGCAGATAACATGACTTAGGACAAATCAAACTAAACCAAAATTAAAAGAAACTATCGCATAGGACGATCATATGCAATTAAAACCAGTAAAATCTTGTAAAATTATTTTAAATTGATAATAACACAGCATATTATAATGCATACTTTGACCTAAGATAAGTGCTCAATTTGTATTTGATTATTATACAACTGATACATACAGTGTTTGTAGATGATCTTACCTCACTTAGGATGATGAAATGAGATGCTTGCAGATTCTGAAGTAAGAATTAATTGTATTTATTTTGACACGTGGAAATAGAGACTAGGCATATAATACTTGTTAATATTTTTCCGACCTTTTTACGGATTCGGAGCAGCATACAGGTTTGGCAAAATAAGCAAACGTAATTTCTTGCAGTCACTGACAAATGTATTTAAAATATAGTTTGACATTTCATGCAACAGTGTTAGACATAAAATGAATGAATTATCAAAGATCCTGCGTTTACAGAGCTGCCGATTTTCCGCGGATCCGCGGAAATCCGCGGATTTCGTGAGCTCCTGGGTCATTTTTGAGATCGATGTAAATTTGAGGAGAAAATTTTCGAGGGGGTATGGACCGAATTTCTGATGACAAAGACAATAAATTCATTCGTCATATTTTATACAGTACCCAAAAACCGGCACGCTTCGGCTTTTATCGTTACGCTAGCCGCCTATGGTACGTCTGTAAGCGCTTTTCTCATTGGTCATGTCGAGTCTTTTCCGGCATTCTATTTTAGAATAACCAATCAAATTACAGTTTACATTGTCGTCTTGTCTGTTCTCAAATGCGTCAAAATGTCGGATATTAATGAAAATTAAGAATGAACAATTGAAAAAATGACGACAATTGCCGATCGGGACACCCAGCTCATTAAAGAAGTTGACGCAAGGGTGAAGAACCAATGGAAATTTGGATGGTTGGAAAAAACAACAGACATTCAACAAGGGGAAACGAAAATAAACGTCCGAATTGGTGACTGTTTTGACAAGATAAAAACTGTTGGACAGGCTCGCTGCAAGGTTTGCAGCAAAGTCATAAATTATGGCTCTCGTGGCATGATAAGCCTGATTGAACACATCAAAAGTGCGAAACATGTGAAACTGTAATTTGAGTCCCGCCAATCTTACAAGGTGAGGTTTGGTCAATTGTGTTATTGATAATTCTAGCCAATGGCAATGATTGATTATTATTTGCATTCCACTGTCCATTTCATGGCTTGAACGTGACAGTTTGTACAGATACTGACTGAGAATAAATATCTAAATAAATAATTATATGATCTTTTCATCTCGGGTGTACTGGTACGGAGGCCTATGTTTGCCAAGGAACGGTGCGTAGGTTTACTGACCGTTTTGATATGACTGAACTACAGTTAAAAACGGCGTAAAACCCAAAAACAAACAAAGTAAATCATCTCGGGTGTTAAATACTTTCACAAAATGGATTTACGATAACAGTTTAGAGTCTAATGAAATTATGAATTTGATTTAGAATAATTCTGATACTGTCTTGTTGTCTGTTTATAGGTTGACTCGATGTTCAAACAATATGCAGGAGAGCCACAAGCTAGCAATTCCCCATCGACATCCAGTGTCCCGTCAGGAAATTTTCCAGTACACAATCCTATGTGAGACAGAATTTCAAATGCAGAGGTAATATCCCATTCATAAAATTAAAAATTAACTCACAGACTATCAGTAATTTATCTGCCAGCATCATGATCATGATGAATTGCAAGATCTAACAGAATTTAAAATAAAACAATATGGGCAATTGTTACATTATAAATCTTAAGAACCAAAAAATTGGCTAGATGTCTGGCTTTCATATTTTAGACTTTTATGCAAAGAATACATCAATATTTTCACTGCAATTAAGTAAACCCTGAAATGGCGGCAAAGAAACCCAATTTCTTTGACAGGTTTACGAGAATTTATAAATGCAAGTAATTTATCACTATGAAAGGCTGTTAAATCTGTTTCTTAAACACATAATAACACATAATAACAGTTTCATGATTTTGTAAGAACAATTATGATTTTATGAAATTTAACATTTTTTATAACTTCAGGCAACAACACTTGCAGTTGTCACAGAACATGGTATGCCACTGTCATATGTTCCAACCATCACCAACCTGGCCAAAACACTTGCTAAAGACCAAAAAGCTCTGTCTGAGGTGAAACTGGATAGGACAGCAGCTGCCTACAAAACAAAATATGGGTTGGCTGAAGGATTCCGACAGAAACTCATTAGCAAACTAAGAAAATGTTCATTTTCACTGAACCTGGATGAAGCCACCAGCTCAAACAAGAAGAAGGTACTGACAATGCTGGTTTCTTTCTATGACTCTGAAACAAATGATGTTAAGATTGAACACCTGGACTCTGTTGAAATTAGAAAGACTGATTCTGAGTCTATATTCCAGGAAATTGTGAAAGCTATTGAAGGTAATGACATTCCGTGGAAAAATCTAATGTCCTGATGGATTCTTGTGGTGTAATGAGAGGGAACAAAAATGGTGTGGAAACAAGACTACGCAGAGAAAAAGCTCCTCACCTTCTTGATGTAGATGGAGATTCATGCCACCACATTCACAACAGCTCCAAAAAATTGTGTGAACCATTTGCCCGGTACCTGGAAAGTCTCTTCAATGACTTGCATGCTGATTTCCAATATTGCTCGGAATATGCTCAGTTTTTGGAAGAAATCTGTGGGATGATCAGCATCAAGTACAGCAAGCCAGCCAGGTTTATCCCCCATAGATGGCTATCAGCTTATGATATTTCACTGCAAACCACAATGCTGTATGACGCCTACGTCATTTTCTACTACCCGTTCCTAAGCAATGAAGATAAGAAGACGTACAAGGAAGTTACAGAAAAAATCTTTGCAGATCGAGGTGTCAGTGCCGATGGGGTGAAGAAGTTGCAGGCCAAAATCTCCGCAAAGAAGATGACTGATGATGGAAAGCAGAGGAAGAAACGGATGTGCCTCAAGATTCTGATGACAGATATAACAACAAAACTCCAACTGTCGTTCTACACCTCAAAGATGCAAATCCTGAAGCAGTATGTTCTGCTCTTCCAGAGTGCAGACACCTTAGTGCACCAACTCCATGAGCAGCAGTTCAAGACCTTCAAAGAGTTCCTGGCCTGCTTTATGAAAGCTGAACACTTGGTCACCCTCACACCAAAGACAGCAAAGACAATGACCTTTGGCAACCCTGAAGAAGTGCTGCACCCAATGTCCATGTACATTGGGTCAGCCGCAGAAGAGATAATCATGAAGCTCAATAAAAAAGACTCCAATGTCAGAACATTCTTGTCGCAGGCCCAGGATGCGTTCATTCAATGTGCTGCACAAATGCAGAAAACACTGCCACTAAACAATAGGACATTAAAGTCACTAGCGGCTATTGACCCTGCTCTGGCCAACCATTCCCAAGGAACCAAAATGCTAAAGCGCCTTGCCTTAGAGGACTTTCAACACTTGTTGAATGAAGGGGAGGAGGAGGGAGTGAGAAAGGAACTCTTGCAGTACAGCACAGATAACACCATCTCGGATGTGAACAATAATGTGGTAGAGTGGTGGGCTAGAGTCCAAGCCAAGGGAAGCTACCCCCTTCTGTGTAAAGTAGCAACAGCATGTCTGTCGATATTCCATGGGCCTGCAGTGGAATCATCTTTCAATTGTCTAGGAGATATTGTTGACAGTAAAGCTGCAAGTATGGAGGTGGAGACATACAGCGCCTATCAGACTGTGCGCTATGCCCTTAAGGCCAGGCACACAACAGCCATGGCATACTTCAGTAAGAAGGATGTGAACCAGAATGCTCAAATTGACAAACACATGTGTGTACAAATGCGAATGGCTGCTCAGCGTTACAAAAAAGTGCAAGCTGAGAAGAGGGAGAAGAAGGGTAAAAAACTGAAATCAGTGAAATCTGTGAAAGAGCAAATACAAAATGTGAGCAAAATGGACTATGACAATCATGTTGAGGCAGAAATGGCCAGAGCAAAGAAACGTGTGATGAAGGAAAAACTGCTGGCACTTGCTAAGAAGAGGAAGATATCTGGATAGATCTTATGTTCATGACAAGAATATCTGAATACAAATTGTTGACATGTAGAACATTATACATGTACATATATGATGTCCTTTTGCTGTTTTGCTGACTAAGCCATTGATATGTACATTGTTTGATAGATCGATGCATATCAATAATGATTTGCTGTTATATTCAAATTGTGATTGCCATTTAGTGATTGATGAAATTAGCGATCAGTACTACATATTTTAATATTGATAACTTGAAGACATCATTTTAATATTGAATGCCATTAACTCTGATCACATGTGTATGTTTTGCTGTTACATGTATATGATATTTAACTATATGTATGTATGAACCACAGTCTAAAGACTCTTTGTTTACATTGAGAAATCAAGTGTAGCTATTCTGACATTTTGATAAAATTGCTTTAGTTCACTTATATATATGTGAGAAGACTGTTCTTTCTGATATTCAGTATTAATTTATACCAAGCCATGCATGTTTGAAAATATTGCCAGGTTCTTTCATTGGCATTTGTCACAGTTTAAAGCTGTAATATCATTTATCATGTAATTGTACCAGATACTATAATAGTGCTTACTACATACATGTATGCATTTATAGTACGAGATACTATATATTTTAATATGCACAATGTGAATAGTACTAAATGTTGAGATTTCTTAGCCATCGCCTAGTCATAACACTTCACATGACATTGCTATAAACTAGTCCCAGTTTTATTTATTTTTTTGTTTTATTTTTTATTTTGTTGACATTTTATGCCATTATTCAATTGACTTAAATAAAAAATGAAAACTCATAGTGCAAACTTATTTTTCACACCTGTTATTGGTTGATTGAAGGTAGATTATGGGAAACGCTAGATTGAACATAAGGCTTTTAATTCAGGTTTGTCAGAGTGTCTGTGCCATTATCAAAGAATCCAACTACATGGATTAATCTCTATTTGTGGAGTACTGTACTTTCTAAAATATGCTGTTTGTTTGTCTCCCCAGACTGATCTTTAGCAATTGATTGTAGAGGATTATCTTGGGTTCATGTTCCAAATATCATGCTGAATGGTCTGTAGGTGATTAGGTTCAGAGTAAGCTTTGTTTTGAGGGCTGATGAAAACCTGAAGTTCAACTAAAGTGTCTCTGAATAGCTTTAAAGGCAACCAAGGAAGTCAAATTTAGAGTCCAGGAAATTGATTTTAGGGCATACCAAATCATCAGAATCCAGGAGCTTGCGCAGCCCCCTTGACCCCCGGCGTATTTTCCTCTGATTTTGCAATTTGCTGTTGGCAGCCCTGGTTTACTGGAGGGTTAAAAAAGCTATATTTAATGTAGTGTTGTTTATGGTTGATTTGTAGATGTATATGCGAATCAGAAACTACTGGTTATGCCTGTCATAAGATAATGGAAAGCAAAAATACACACTAGACTTTTGTCTGTTGATTTTCCCCAATTTGTTATTTAAAACAAATCGTTTAAAGTTCGTAACACTTTTTTTTATGGATTTTTTCATAAATAGTGTCAAATTAAAAATTTGTAAATATTGAAAGTTCAAAAAACTTATTTATAAAGATATAACCCATTTTTTAACATTTCATGTAAATAAAGGGAGGTAATTAGAAATTTATTTTCTATAAATTCTAAGTCGAATTTTCCAATAAGAAATGAATGCATGTCATTTATTTATTAATTAAATATAATGTGCACAAATATTTGCAGTACACATTTTACATATTCTTTGAAGTTTGAAAATTGTTTTATTTGCATAATTATATATATATATATATAACTTTTTGCAAGTGTGGTATACGCACAGTAACAATAACAATCACAAAACATACCGGATCTTTAAAACCAAACGATAAGTATACCAAGTTGTTGACAAACATATTTCCATTTAAAATGCATGTAACTAAAAACAAAAAGTGCAAAAGCACAATTTCATTCCGTATATCTTCAAGACAGTTTCCCCCCCAAAGAAATTAAAAAAATAGGAAAAAAGGGAAAAATAAAAAATGAAAATGTTTGGCAGGCTCGTTTAATTTATTTATTAATCATTTAAATTGATTAACGTGTCGTCGTTGCCTGCTTCCTTTTTATGTTTGGGGTCCACCTGGGTCCCCAGATTTCCATTGTGGTTCTTGTTGCTGGGTCATATGGGGGTTTTGCGTTCTTGAACGCCGCCTTTCTTGTTTGATCTTGGTTTTTTCATATTTGATTTGCAGCCTGTTCATGGACGGTACTGTTAAGTGCAAACTACCGTCCGCACGCCCCTAGCACCGGCTTAACAAATTCAAAATTTACTTGAAGGGACAATTTTGGGAAAAATCCGAGATTATTAAATAATCTTACTTGCGAACAGCAAAAAAAGTTCTATGATACATTTAAAAGTTCTACTTGTCAGCAACTGTATAAAAAACTGGAAAAAAGGTGAAAAATTTATATTAACAAATTACTGAAAATTGCAGAAAAACGGTTTGTTTGAGATTAAATAAAAGTTACAGAAAATGCATCATCTCTCACGCTCCTAACACCGGTTTTAAATTTATAACAAATTACAATTTTTTAGATAAATACCCCTTATTATAAAAATACTTATTTCTACATAATTATGTAATGAAACAAAAATGAAAAGATAAAAATTTTTTTTAAATTTATTTTTCATTTTTCCTTTGAAAAAATAAATATTTAAGAAATGCGAAATTGTTAATTTTAAAATATGTAACATATTTCTTATTTCGAGTTACCTAAAATTAAAGAAATTGCTTTATTTTAATGACAGACAATTCATATTCAAGAATAGAATTGCCTTTAATCTGGCTTTTCGTCGTGCTGACTTTCTTTTGTGTAAAATTGTTCACAAATCTTCAAGAATTATATGAGTATTCTTGTAACTCACTAGACAATCAAACAATCGGATACTCATTCAAAGTAACGACATGTTTGGGAGAATAGAAAAAAAACAACTCTTAAATGTTTCTTTGTTAACGCACTATCATTACGCAGGAAAAAATGATTGCCCAAATTTGTAAATATAATTATATGTAGAATATATTACATTTACAAAAAAAATCGTTGCTTCAACCCTTGTGGAAAAAATCAATAAGCACTAAATGGAAACAAACTTCACAGAGTATTGAGACAAATATAAATTGGATTTATAGAAAAAGAACCCTGACAGCAAAAAATTTTTAAAAAAATTTTAAAATGATTTTTTTACACCTTTGTCTTCTATGATTTTTTTAAAAATTTGGTTTGTTTGATAGGGAAAACTTCAGTCATGCCCGGGCCCGAGTGTGCCTTTGTCCTTTTTTTGTTCGGGGTCCTCCTGAGCCCTTCCCAGTCCTTGTTGGTCTTTTGGGGGTTGCTTTTGAAAGGGTCGCCTTACCTTTTTGATCTTTTTATTTTAACCATTTTTAAATGGTTAAAAAAGCGAGTTTTGGGTGGGTGTTGGGTTTTTTTAGGGAAATTCTGTATTTCCTGTTTTCCCGCTTTATAAAAAGTCGAAAAAGTGTTTATTGCCCTGAAAATTTAAATTTTCACAGGTTGTTTACAAAATTTCTGAAAACCAAAAATATTATTTTTTGAACTTTTTAAATTCCTAAATGTTTTTAAAATAAAGGATTTTTTCTAAAAAAATTTTAAATAAAAAACCGAAATTCATTGAAAACCCTGAAAAAAAAAAAAACTGAAAAAGGCCGATATAAAGCAAATTTTTTTGCTGAAAATTTTTAAATTACCCAAAAATTCAAAAAATAAAAATTCCCCTCCCCCGCCTATTAAAAAAGGTCTGTCACAAATTTTAACACTTTTTAACGCCAAAAATTTCAAAATAAAATTCGAATAAATTATGTTTCCGGGCACGATTCAAAAAGGAAAATTTTCCCTTTTTTAAGCTCGGAAAATTTCTTGTTGATCCCGTTATAAATTTTAATTTAAAAATTTTCCCAATGGTTTTTTTATTTCGAAATTTAAAACCCCACGAAATTTTGCCTGTTTTAGGGGTGTAGATTCGGGAAACATGAAATAAATTAAAAACATTTTGTGGCGTTTTTTAAAATCCAAACCCCCCAAATTGTAATAACAGTAAAAATTGTCAGATGACCAGTTTTTTGGTTTTAAAAAAAAAAATTTATATAATGATTATATGTTATGAAAGGAAATAGGTAATTATAAAAATTTGAAATATATTATCCCCAATTGAAAATTTTAATTCGGTAATAAAATACATTTTTTTTTCTTTTTCAAAAAGTTAAAATAAAATTAACAGAAAAACATGGAAAAAAACACGGGTAAATTTTTTTTTTTCAAAATTTCCCAAAATGAGTTTTGCAAACAAAACCGTTCAAAAAATTACGGGTCTTTTTTTAAAATTTCATTTTTTCAAATTTTTCAAAAGTTTTAAAATTTTTTGGTTTTTTATTTTTTTTAAAAATTAAAATTCCCATAAAAATTTGGAAGAGTGTTTACAAAATATTAGTTTAAAAGGGGAAGGATTGGAATGGAATGTAGGAAATGGGGAAATTTAAATTTTAGAAATAAAAAAATTTTTTAAAATTTTTTCCCAAACCCTGATGGAAAAATGGAGTTGTTATTTCACAGCATTACGTGTCCTCCTTTCGCCCTTATGTCCATTTCCGGTTTTGTACCTTCTGGGTGCCCTGCTGAGGTGTGTGGGGGCTTGCGTCCTGTGAAGGTTGCCTTTTGCATTGTTGATCTTTTATTCTCGTTTTTGTAAATAATCATACTGTCGATCTTTTACAAATTAGAGATAAATTTAATAACTTAGATAGGATAATAATTTTACAACAGATTCAAACGAAAAGTTCTTGCAGACAAAGAAAACAAATATTAAGAAGACAATTGAAATTTCAAATGCAAACAGGTAAGCGCCTCCATGGTCGAGGAGGTTAGAGTCGATGACTTCGTAATCCAGGATTACCTCTCTGGCGTGGGTTCTATCCCCGATAGATGCTTTTGGTAGTTTTAGCGCGGAGGAAGTGTATTTTGAGTACTAATGTAACTCTTCAGGAACGATGGTTATGAAATTACCCGCCTTTATGACTGAAATACTGTTGGGAAAAGGCGTAAAATGAAACAAACAAAAATATGCAACAGTCGTAGACATACAATGATCAATATATCCGAAATGTCTGTATTTACCATGACTACAAAATATCTTGACACATTGCAGTCTGTTTATTTTAGATAAAAAGATATTCAGACGTATCAACAATTACTGCGTATGTCTATCATAAGATAATGGAAAGCATATTCCTACTTAAAATCTGTCTGCTGATCTTTATATTGAGGAAAAGAACCTTGTTTTTCCCAAATTTATATTATTAATTTATAATTATATTTTAAATACCAAATTTAACTAATACAATACATATTAAAAAATTTGCGTTTTATTTTTAATATAAAAATTTTAGCATTTTCAGTCCCCAAAAATTCTAAGTCGGTAGGGGAAAAACAATAAAGCCCGATACTCAAGAAATATTTTAGGCTGAACTTTTCAAATTAGATAAATTAAATATCAAAACCCTTTTTAAAAGATCGTCACGGAGTTGAATTTTTTACGCCAA